TATTGTTCATGCTCTTGATCTTTCTTTAGAAACACAAAGGACTTCAGCTCGGGAATGTAAGCCCACTGATTTTGAGGTTCCTGAAACCTTCTTGAATCACCTTCAGGACCTGAGCGCCTGCTTTCTGAAGGACATTGCAGGTAAAAAGATGTATTAGTTAATTTACCTGTTGCTGAGACAAATACCTGACCAAAGTAACTTAAGGAAGAGGTTTGACACCCAGCCAGAGGGTGCAGACCATTGTTATCATGGCTGTAGTGTAGCCACAGTCAGGAAGCAGAGGTAGACAAATGCTTTGCTCAGCTCTGTTTTCTTTTTTATTTGGTCTAGAACCCCAGACCATGGGCTAGTGCTGCCCACATATTGGGCGGTTGTGTGTGTCCCCACTGCTGAATTAACCTACTCTAGAAACTCACAGACATGCCCAGAGGTTAGTTTTTGTAATGATTCTAAATCCCATCAAGTGATCAGTCAGGGTTAACCGACACAGAAGGAAAGTAGGAAAAGACTGTAATCTTCTCTGGGGATTTCCCCCAGGCAGGATCCTCACGGCAGGTCATTCCTCTTTTAATGTCTGTCTGGTTCAATGCTATAAGGCATTCTGTATGGACATTTTTATGTATATAGCCCCCCTTGTTACTTGTGTTTTGGGAATCGTACAGGTAATCTGGGCTTGGGCCAAGCTATTAAATTATTTCTACCTCTTTCTACAGTGTTTATCACCGACAAGATCTCCAGCTTTTGTCTTCAGGTGGCCTTACAGATCTTACACCACAAATTACCTCAGCATTGTGCTCATCTCTGTGATGCTATAATTGATTACCTGAGTTCTCGTAATTCTTCAGCAGGTGGCAGGTATGGTTGGTCTTCAGGAGTAACCGCAGCTGGGGAGATGAATGGAGTTAGTGGAGCTGTGTGAATAAAGTTTAGACTCTTTGATCTTCTTAACAATAATTACTACTGGGCAGCGGTGCATGACTTTAATCCCAGCACCTGGGAGGCACAGTCTAGCTGTGTAATCCTGCTAGCCTCAAACTCACAGAGATCCTCCTGCCTCTGCTTCCTAGGTACTGGTATTAAAAACTTAATCCCCCATGCCTGACTTAGTTTTATTTTAAGATATATTTTTATTTTGGCCGGGCGGTGGTGGCACACACCTTACATCCTAGCACTTGGGAGGCAGAGGCAGGCAGATCTCTGAGTTCGAGGCCAGTCTGCCCGTTCCAGGACAGGCTCCAAAGCTACACAGAGAATCCCTGTCTCAAAAAACAAAACAAAACCAACCAACCAACAAACAAAAAAAGGTTTCTTTTTATTTTATATTTATGAAGTTGTGCCTATGTATGTATGCATATATGTGTACCACATGTGTGCAGTGCCCTTGGAGACTGGAAAAGTATGTCAGAGCTCCTTGAACTGGAGTTGTAGATAGTTAGAAGCTGCCTTCTTGGGTCCTCTGCAAGAGCAGAATGTGCTCTTAACCAGTGAGCCCCAGTCTCATTCTTCGCCTATGTGTGACAAGATCTCACTATGTAGCACCAGCTGACTTGGATCCCAGTTTATAGACCAGGCTGGCCTTGAGCTCACCTGCTTCTGCCTCTTGAATGCTGAGATTAAAGGTGTCCACCACCAAACCCAGCTTTTTGTTTTTTTTTTAATTATTTATTTGTATTTCATTTGTGTGAGTGTTTTGCCTGTGTGTATGTATGTGCACCACAGTTGTGCGGGGGCCAGTGGAGGGCGGAAGAGGACCTCTGGACCCAGGCCCTCTGCAGGAACAGAAGTAGTCTAACTAAAGAGCCTCTGCTCCAGCCCCGGTCTCACTCTTCTTCCCGCTAGCCCTCTACTCCTGTTTCTCCGGGATCAGACGAGCTCCAGACTCTTGGAGCAGGTGCTGCTGGTATTAGAACCTGCAAGGCTCCAGCGCCTCTTTGAGGATCACTTCCAGGGTCAGCTGCATTCCTTGGCTGCACATCCCATTGCTAACTTCCCCTTGCAGCGCTTACTGAATGCAATCACTTCCCCTGAGTTGGTGAGTTGGAAATGCGACCTGGTCTCTTTCTGCTGTTCTTAATCACTGGGCCTTATTTACTTATTATTTATTTGTATATTGTTTGTTTGTTTGGGATAGGGTTTCTCTGTATATAGCCCTGACTGCCCTAGAACTCATTCTGTAGACCAGGCTGGCCTTAAACTCACAGTGATCTGCCTGCCTCTGTCTCCCGAGTGTGGGAATTAAAGGCATGCATCAGCATTGCCTGACTTTTGGGCCTTATTTTATTGTGCGCTTGTCTCTGTGCCTCTCTGACAATTTACTGCCCATTGCCCATGTGAAGTTATTTTGGGGGGTTTTCCAGAAATTAGGGTTGTGGCACCCTTCTCCTTGAGATTTGTTTTAGCTTCTCAGGTCTGCCTGCCTGTCCTCTTAGTTCCAGTTTGCAGCTAGAAATTCTGTGACTGCTTGTCTATCAATCCTCAGGGGCACTGAAGCCATTGCTGTAGCCTCCCCTTTCCCTGTTGCTCCCTACAGGAAGGAGGGTAGGGGTGTCCTGTGGTCCCTTGGGTTGACACATGGAGTAGAAGGCAGGTTTAATTTTAGACTTGCCTGCCCTTGGCTCTCCCTGACTTGTACAGAAGGAACATTTAAATTCTCCCCTCTAGGGTAACTCCTCTTCTTCTGAGTCTTATACAACACAGTGAAAATTCTGATGTTGGTGATAGTTTATGTCTTATCTGGCTTTTTTTAGTAGGAAGATTCTTCTGATTCACTTTTGTTAACCATTCATTGACTGTCAACAATTCTTCAATCCGTGTTTCCTCTTAGCTGTCACTTGTATTTGAGGAGCTGAGTCCTGCCTTGGAAGCTGTGTTGGCCCAGGGCCACCCAGGGGTGGTTGTGGCTCTGGTGGAAGCCTGCCGCAGGGTTGGGACTCACCAAGCCCAGGTCTTGCAGCTGTTATTGGAGGTGAGTGGGTGCTACTTGGGAGTCTTTCCTCGAGCTAATTCTGCTAGTTAGGATTTGTCTAATTTGCATGTGAGAGGTTTAATGTTGAGGGAGTTATAGATACAGAGACAGGTGAGTGAGTCCAAGAACAGCCCTGAAATGAAATTGGCCCTCCAGCAGTTAGAGAACTTGGAGAGATAAATTTGGGTTCAATCTCTACAAGTACTGAGACTGTGAGACAGAACAAGGCAAATGAGATTCTGCCCTCACAGAGCGTCCTTTGCTGTTGAGTTAGACCTCTCCTTTCCTGAGCACTCCTGTCTAGAACATCGCTGTGTTAGGGATGGGATGGTTCTTAATCATCGTTATGCTTTGTCTTGCTATCCAGGCATTCCACTGTGCAGAACCCTCATCCCGGCAAGTAGCCTGTGCGCCTCTCTTTGCCTCTCTGTTGGCTTATGAGGTTTACTATGAACTAACAGAGGAGGAGGGGGCAGTACCTGCAGAGCATCAGGTAAGATAGGGGAGGGGCCAGGCTAGTGACTATTTGGGGGCCAGGCGTCTTAGTGCTTGTGTTGCTGAGATTTCTAACCTTTTTGGAGAGAAGGCAACAGTACTCTAGGGATGAGCTCATCCATCTGGTGTGGTCACTGCCTCCTAATTTCGTCTTACTGTATTCCCAGGAAGAAATGGCCGCAGCCAGAGCTCTGAGGGAAGTGACCGTACTCGGGTCTCTGCTGCTCCAGCATTTGTTGTATTTCTCCAACCCTGGACTTGTACTTCGGAGTCTGAGTGCCTTGACGGGACCACAGCTCCTGGCTCTGGCCCAAAGCCCTGCTGGCTCTCATGTATTCGATGCCATCCTGACTAGCCCCTCTGTGACGCAGAAGCAGCGTCGCCGTGTGCTGAAGACACTAAAGGTTAGACTTCTGCTCTAGTCCCTGCTTCATTGCTTTAGAGAAAATGTGCTTCCTTCAGGACTGGACCTGAGAGCCTGAGGCAGGGTCCATATATAGTTCCTGTGCTGTTTTAACTGCGCCTCTCGAGTCTTCTGGAGTCACTCCCCCACTCCCAAAACACATTTGTATCCTTCCCTTGAGGGACTTTACCCTGCTTGTCTCAATGCAGGGACAGTATGTGGCGCTTGCCTGTAGCCGCCATGGTAGCCGAGTATTAGATGCCATCTGGAGTGGAGCCGCTTTAGGGGCCCGGAAGGAAATTGCTGCTGAACTGGGTGAGTACCACTGCCACTGGGTAGTGTCTCCTAACCGCCTTCTCCTGCACCTGGTAGCTGATATCAGGAGGATGGTCTGTCTCTGAGTCTCAGTCTGCTTTTTCTTTGCAGACTCTCCAGTTCTTTACCCCTCCCCTTTATCTGGTTTTTAATGGGTAAGGTGTTTTGTAGTTGGAGTTTTCTTTGGGCCACCAGTTCACAAATAATAACACAGAGACTTACTAATTATGAGAGCCTGGCCCTAGCTTAGGCTTGTTTGTAACTAGCGCTTGTAACTTAAATTAACCCATTTTTATGAATCTATGTACTGCAGGAGAGCAGAACCAGCAGTTGATTCAAGATGCTTTTGGCCACCATGTGGCCCGGAATGTGGCCCTGACTACCTTCTTGAAGCGGCGAGCAACTTGGGAACAGGAGCAGAGTGCTGTGGCCAAGAGGAGACAGGCATTGAACTCTATACTTGGAGACTGAGGCCTCGAGGCCTGGGGATAGGTGTTGATGGGAGGGTGAGGGGACATACCTGTCCTTCCTGCTGTAAATCAGAGTCACGAGTCTTACTGGAGATGTAGTAACACACACAAAACTGTAAACCCACACTACTCGGAAGGTTGAAACAAGAATATAAAGAATTCACTGGGATTAAAGGTATGCCAACAAGGCTGGAAAAAACAAACAAACAAGCAAAAACAAGCCAAGAATTCAATGCTGGCTTGGTCTGTGGTAGCCAGATCTGTTCATCCCTCTGTTTGTCTGTGTCCATCTGTCCGTCCCCCCCCCCCTCCAGGAATACTGGTAAACATTTTTGTATTTTTCTTGGAAATGTTTTTATTTTTTAGGGGAACGGTATCTCAAGGCAAAGCTAGGGACGGCCATTGGTGTGTGGGACCTTTGGGATAGGATCAGTAAGAACCTAGGTGTAGCAGCAGTTATGGTGAATCAGGATGCCAGGGGACAGGGTTGTGGGTCTGCGGGGTAAGTAGAAGACAGGAGATGTAGGTAAGAGGCAGCATCCTTGGGGAAATGTGCAGGCTAGAGGACCAAGGCAGTGTGCTGACTGCTTCTGTTAGGATGGCATCAGGTGAGTTTCCTCGGGTACACTGCAGATCCCAAATCCGATGGTGTCTTATAGCTCTCGGGTGTCTCGTGGAACCAGTCTCGGCACAGGCTCAGCATTTTTCATTATGAATGGAGGTGACTGTGCTTGTGCCACTGCCACCGCTCAGCCCCCTCCACCACGTGGCGAAGGGTAGATGAGATGCCCAGCAGGATATGCCCCAGGCCTTGCAGCAGGGAGGAAGTCCAACGAAGGAGCTCCCTGAAGGGCAGGGCGAGAGCAAACCACATGATTAGGGAAAGCTGAGAGGAGGCCTTGAGTCTGTAAGCTTGGGGTGGGGGTAGGGGTTCACAAAGGAGATCTTGTGGATATGTAGGGTTGTATGACCTGTTCTCTGACCTGAGGACTTTTTTGGGTCCAACTCCTTGAAAATCACAGCTCATGGAGTAGAGCCCGTAGAACGTAGCTTTGACATTGAGGCTGCCGAAGAGGTCTCGAGGATTTTCCTTGTAGACATCAAAGGTGATGCGGGCAATGTCTTTGCTGTGTTTTGGCTTCTCCCGTCCTAGACTGTGTAACAACATCCCACTCTGTGGGACACAGAGGTCCATCATTGAAGTGGGCCTTCCTTCATACCCTGACATCTAGTTCTGTCAGTGCCGGGTCAGACCCCTTCTGTCTCCCCACTACTGTCTAATGTTTGTATTTCCCAACGCCCCCAGAGTCAGCGATAGGCTAGGGAAGAAGATGGGGAGGACTAGAAAGGATTGGTGACCTAAGCAGTCCGATGGGCCTCTCACCCGGGGGCTCCAGCTCTGTCCCTGCTCTAGGACCATCAAGCATGTGTCATCCTCGAGCAGCTGGAAGAAGTCCTCACTGTCCACAGCGGTCCCGTCCTCTTCCAGCACCAGGGTCAGCACTCCACTGAGCAGCAGGGTCTCCAGTACCTGTTGGTGACAAAGGACAGGTCTTATCCCATACCTCCCCCCCTTTAGTTGGCACATCAGACACTGGCATCTCTGCTCTGCTTCCTGATTTGCCATCTTCCCTGTGTTGTTTTTTGAGGCCGAGTATTTGTGTAGTTCAGCCTGCTCCCAAACTCAGCAAGCAATTCTGTTAGCCTTCTGGGTCCTGGGATTGTAGACATGAATACTTCATCTCATCTCATTCTTTATAGACATGGTGGTTCTTTTTGTTTGGGATTTTTGCCTCTCACCAGAGGCAGACCTTTTTTTTTTTCTTCCCATTTTGCTCCTGTTCATCTACTCTTGCTCCCTCCTAAGCCACTCCCACTCGTGTTAAGTGACAATCAGTCATAGTCAGGTGTGGTAGAACACCTACAGTCCTAGCTGCTTAGGAGGCAGAGGCAGAGGGACCACTGGAGCCCAGAAGTTTAGGAGCAGACTTTAACAGTTTTGAACTCTAAGTCTAAACAGGTAAAACCTATGTTCTTTATCTCCAGTGCCCTCCCATGTCATCCTTCCTGTTTTCATAACTGTTTTCAGTGTTAGCACTGTTTAACCATTCTGAAGCCTCACTGTGTGCCAAGTGAGAACTTGGGAGTGTTGAAAGAAATGTCAGGGTTGAATTAGGTAGGAATAATAGCAATAGGAAATAAAAGGGCTTCAGCTGGCAGGTGACCAGGAAAGGCAAGGCTACGACGGGCTCCTGTGAGGCCCTCTTGAGGGACATACAGGCACTGTTACCCTGTGACTCATTCTAATGCATCTGATTGCAGCAGACTCGGTTCTAAGGATAGCTTCTGAATAACCCACCTATCCTAGGGACCAGACTACCCTAGACCACCCTGTCGAGAAGGAGCTGGAAGGAGCTGAATCTCTTTTTTTTTTTTTTTTTTCTTCGAGGCAGAGTTTCTCTGTATCTTTGGTTCTCCTGGAGCTTTCTCTAGACTAGGCTGGCCTCAAACTCACAGAGATCTGCCTTCCTCTGCCACACAAGTGCCGAGATTAAATGTGCCCCCACCGCCTAGCAGGTCTGAATCTTCTAAAGATGACCTCATACCACTCACCTTGTGGATTGACACACCTTCCTTTAACAAGCCATTTTTATGTATTTTTTAGATAGTGTGTAGGAGTGAGTGGGTATGTGCATTTGAGTGTGTAGAGATCAGAAGAGGGCATTGACTGTGGAACTGGAGTTAAACTGGTTGTGAGCCACCAGGTGGGGACTGGGAACTCACCCTTGGTCCTCGGCAAAAGCATTACATGCTCTTAACTACTGAGCCATCTCCCCAGTTCTGCACCCCTCACCCCTTTGTGGGGACTACAGGAGAAAATTCTCTAAAAGGAAAATCCAGTGCACCATGATTGGGGAAAGAAAGTCTCCTAACCTCAAGAGTACCACCCAATACAACGCAACCCATAGGCTGCTCCCACCGTGGGCAGCCCACTCCAGTCTCTGGGGTAGTCTAACTAGATTGGGGTTTGCTAAATAAAGGCCTCCTCAAGTTGTCTCTTGACTGAATTTGTTCCTTCAAGATTAGAGCCAAGAGGCATCCCCTCTCCAATATCTGTGAAAATATCTGTAAAGACTTTTTCATTTGTTCCTTTCAGTAACCCTCAAAAGTGATTTATTTTTCTCTTGAGTAGATGAAGAAACTGAAGGCTTGCGGAGTGATTTAGAAGCAAATGGTTTGCCTAGTATGTGCAAGGACCTTAATTTGATGCCCACCATTGAAAACATTTTCAGGTTAAGTTTTGTGGCATGTGTCTGTAATTTCAGTATTTGGAAACCTGAAGCAGGAGAATTAAGTGCAAGGTCAGCCTGGGCTAAAAAGTAAAAGCCTGTTTCAAAAGAAAGGCAAACAAACAAAAAACAGGTTTTGATAGATGGAACGACTTCCCAAAGGTTGACAGCTAGGAAGTAGCAACATCAGAATTTGAAGCTGGCTTTTCATAAGAATTATGGGTCAGGAGCTTAAATGGGCGGCAGAGCCCTTGCCTAGAGCTCCAATTCCCAGCACTACAAGAAAACATGCAAATCAGAATTACTTCTGAGCCCATTTGTCCAGCCGTTATTCGACTGTTCCCAGACTGCCAAAGAAAGCTCAGAAAATAGATAATTTACCCAAATGCAACTTAGGCCACTGGGCCTAGTGTTTCTTAGCCACCCAGGGGGTGGCAACTTTGTAAACTGCCACTTCTGCTCCGCCACCCTACTATTTTTGAGTCCCTTGGCTTCCCTACTGCAGGAGCCTGACCGCTTACCTTATCTAGCAGTTCCTCGCGGGTGGCCGCTGTCAGACCTTTCCGGACTCTCCGCTTGTGATCACAGACACGGAAGGGGCGTTGAGGTGGAGCAGAGTTCCAGACCCTACGGCCAAACTCGGAGCCCATAGTGGATACTGACCTGATAGTTGGGAAGAAAACAGAAGGGGCAAGGAGGGGGTTGGTAAATTTAGTGATAATGATGGGGGTGGGGGTGGGCTAAGAGGTTCTAGGTTTACAGAGCCAAAGGAGAGACTATGGAGAGAGAACAAGAGTAGTTTACGAGTTGGATAAATCGGTAGACAGGCAAGTGAGTCTTCCAGGAGCTAAGGTTAGGCTTGTCTGCCCGTGTCTCAGCACTGAAGTATAAAGAAGGGTTAGAAATCACCTCAGCAGTCCATTGGGGTTCAAGGCTGAGAGGTACTCCATGGTAAAACCTCTGTGGCGTTGGGGCTGTGCGCTTCTGTGTTGTTCCCAGGCTGACGTCTTGTTTCTGAGTAAAGCTGAGATCTTAGCCCTGGTGAAGTAAGAGATGTGTCAAGCCTGGACTCTGTCCCCCCCTTGCCTGGTGAGTAAAAGGGACAAAGTCTAAGAGGAGGAGGAGGAGCCTGTGTGCAGTGGTGGAAGTACTTTGTGCCTCCTTTAGAGATGTGTTGTGAGGAGTGAAATTTGATATTGGACTCTCCCCTCCCCCTTACCCAAATACAGTTTTACCTTTCTAGCCTAGTTTGCCCACCTTGGACTCCCAATCTTCATATCTTAGCTCATAATGCACCCCTTTGACATGGTTTCTGAGTACTGAGCTCGGGTCCTCATGTTTGTAGGGCAAGGACTTTGCCGATTGAGCCTCTCCCCAGCCAGGGGGCTTCAGTTTTGATGTTCCAGGTTTCATCTGATTTAGTTGTAGCTATGACGGACAGCTGCGCAGAAACTGAGGTTCACTGTTAGCCCTTAAATGAGCGCAGTCCCCATTTTCTTGCCTCTCTTCGTTCCCCAGCTTCCTGTGGCCTTAGAAACGCAAAGTCCCTGGCCAGCTTTGTGACTTGACCAGCTTCATTTCTCATGCAGGCTGGAGCCCCAGTCAGGGCCTAATAAAGGGCAGAGATAGGGGCATGAGTGCCCCTGGGACAGTCCTCAGCAATAAAACGTTCCCCAGTCTTCTACCCCGGGCATTCTGTATACCTCAGGGTTCTGCTGGAGCGCAATGAAAACGCACGGAATGGCTGGCCTCTCCCTGACCATGACATGCTCCCTCACTCCTGTATGCTGCAAGTCCCCCCAGACAGGTTGCAAGCTCCTTGTACCTACACGTTTAGCCTATTCCCCTGGGTCTGAACATCACGTCTTACACTGAAAAGTTGTCCCTGACAACTCAGTAACAGCTGGAGAGTGGAGGGACTCTGACAGGCTCAAAAGCAGCTTGAAGCGGAAGAAAAGGAAGCTTGGCAGGGACAGGAGGCTGAGACCGGCAAAGAGAGAGCAGCTGGGAGAGTGGGTTGCTTGGCTCGCCTTCTTTGTTCACCGCAAACCAAGGAGCCTAGAGAATATAAACATCGCAGAAAGTGGGCTCGAAGGACAGGGGCCAGAGGTGGGCAGATGTGCGAGCAGCCTTTAGCAGAGAACTCCTTCTCCTCTAAAATGGCCCAAGTGCCTTCCTGCACCTCTTCAGCCTTATCCTATTTCCCAGGGAGGCTGGCCTGCATGCCTGGGCCTGTCAGTGATGGGAAGGAGTAGGGTGAAGGAGGGCCCAGGAAGGCTGGGGATGAGCACCATCTTGTCCCTCTTCATTCTTGCCTCACCCTCTGCCACTGTGACAGGCATGAGGCAGGGTTAGGTACCTCATTCACTGTGGCTTCACCTGTCATCCTTCCTAAACTTGACACCCAACACTGTTCTCTCCCAGCTGGGTAAGTAGATCTGTTCATTCTCCTTTACTCCCCACCGTCCACCTTTGCCCTGGAGCATTAAGAATGGGGTTGGAAAAAGAGGGGGCTATGGCAGAAGGCCAGATGTGGAGATAGTGGCTGTCAGCAGGGAGGACTGGGGAACACCAGTGCTTTGGTACCAGTGGCCTCTGGGATCATGCTAAGACCTGGGGAGTTCAGCTGACTGGGAACAGGGACCATGGGTTCTAAGGAGTTGTTTGAATTGGTTTCGGGAAAGAAGACAGGCAAGTTGCAGAGAAGCTGGGGGTGGTGGTGGGGTGGGCACAGTGTCTTCTCATCTAGAGTTAGAGATAGTGTGGGTCTTTGCCCCAATCTTGAATGCTCCACCCGGTGGATTTTTGCAGCCCCCTTTTAGGAGGATGTCAGTCTGCTACCGTCCGCCTGGGAATGAGACGCTGCTGAGCTGGAAGGCCTCGCGAGCCACCGGCACCGCCTTCCTACTGCTGGCGGCATTGCTGGGACTGCCGGGCAACGGCTTCGTAGTGTGGAGTTTGGCGGGGTGGCGACCCACCGCGGGGCGGCCGCTGGCGGCCACACTTGTGCTGCACTTGGCGCTGGCCGACGGCGCGGTCCTTCTGCTCACCCCACTCTTTGTGGCCTTCCTGAGCGGGCAGGCCTGGCCCCTAGGCCAGGTGGGCTGTAAGGCAGTGTACTACGTGTGCGCACTCAGCATGTACGCCAGCGTGCTGCTCACCGGACTGCTCAGCCTGCAGCGCTGCCTAGCTGTCACTCGGCCCTTTCTGGCTCCCCGACTACGTAGCCCGGCTCTAGCCCGCCGCCTGTTGCTGGGGGTCTGGCTGGCCGCCCTGGTGCTCGCTGTTCCGGCCGCCGTCTACCGCCACCTCTGGGGCGATCGCGTGTGTCAACTGTGCCACCCATCGGCCGTGCACGCCGCTGCTCATCTGAGCCTGGAGACCCTGACTGCTTTCGTCCTGCCTTTTGGAACAGTACTCAGCTGCTATGGCGTGACGCTGGCACGTTTGCGGGGCGCGCGCTGGGGCTCTGGGCGACACGGCACACGAGTGGGTCGTCTGGTGAGCGCCATCGTGCTGGCCTTTGCCTTGCTCTGGACCCCCTACCATGCGGTCAATCTCTTGCAGGCAGTGGCTGCGCTCGCTCCACCGGAAGGGCTCCTGGCCAGGCTTGGCGGGGCGGGCCAGGCGGCGCGCGCTGGAACTACAGCCTTGGCATTTTTCAGTTCCAGCGTCAACCCGATGCTCTACGTTTTCACTGCGGGGGATCTGCTGCCCCGGGCGGGGCCCCGGTTCCTCACTCGGCTCTTTGAGGGTTCTGGAGACACCAGAGGAGGCAGCCGCTCTAGGGAGGGTACCATGGAGCTCCGAACTACACCGAGGCTGAAAGTAATGGGGCAGGGCAGGGGCAATGGAGACCCTGGAGGCGGAGGCAGGATGGAGAAGGATAGTCAGGAATGGTAGCCAAGACCTCAAACTTGGGACTTCCCTACCGCTTTCCATTGTTCTTGGAGCTCTAGGGTAGTTGGGGGATCCTTCTCTGATTGCAGTTTGAGTTTGGCTGGACAGGTTTACTCTATAGGCCCAGATTACTCCAAATCATGGGATTGTATGGGTGACTATGGCCTATGTTCAAAACTGGTGCTTGCAGTACAGCTTGGATTCAAGTACCAGAAATGCTTACCTATTGCCAGCAGCTATTCTTGTGAAATAGACTGGGAAGTCATTAACTAATGGCTTAAATGTGCTCCTGATAGTGGTTAATCATGCCTGTGTTGTACTGAAGCCACCTGGCTCTCTACTGGGAAAGGCCAGGACTAGACAGTGCCAGTCTTCAGCCGCTTTCTGTCCTGCCTCCCCATCCAGGGTACCAGGCCTGTCTCTAGAAGCACTGTGGAGTCTGGATAGGGATGCATAAAATCTATCCTTAGAGGCATGGAGGAGGAGGAAACTGGCCTGCCAGGGGGAAGTAAATCTGTGCAGCATAAAAGGGAAGGGTTCTGCTTGTCTTACGGTCAGCGCAGGGAGAAGGAGGCACACGGCTGAATGGTAGTGCAGGAGCCTGGGACTGAAAGACTGAACTTTTCCCTCTATCCCTCTGCTCACCCCACACCCCTCCAGAAGCCACCAGGCCTGTGGGGAGCCTCGGGAGCCAGCACACTTTACAAGAGGAAGCTTGGGGGTTGAGGAGGAGGTATGGCGAATGGCTGGGATATCTGGAAAACTGAAAGAAGCATTCGGGAAGGTGGCGCCTTTCCTTCCTCCGTCTTTTCTCTCTGCTGCCTTCCCTCTTCCCAGGGTGCTAGCTGTTCCTAGCCTGTCCCTATTGCTTCCCAGCCTCCACCTCTGGAATCTCCCTATTATCAGATCTAGAACCTGAATGACACTTTTGATTTGGGTGACAGTAGAATGCAATTTTTTTTTCTTTAGGGGACAACACGGACACACACATGACTGGTCCGTCTTGTTGTCTCAGAACATTCTTACTAGCCCTCGATTTCTTATTCCTAGACCCTTCGGTCCCTAGCGAACTGAGGTGGCTGACCTCCCAAGTGGTTACTCTGGGATCTTCTTCAATGACTTTTCTCACCCTTCAAGCAGAGGCCAAGAGGGAAAAAAGGAAAGCCAGTCTCCAGGGTCATGCGAGAAACACTGGAATTGGTGCTGAAGTGACCTCTGACCTAGGGAGGAAGTATGTTTAGAGTGCCTAGTCGCTGGGGAGACTGCTCCCAAAGGAAGATGGAGCAGGCTGAGGGAAAGTGCAGCCCACTGTCTGCTCAAAAAAGGTTCTGGATGGCCCTGGAGCTCTGATTCAGAAGCTTCTGCCCACAAACACAGAATTCTTCCTAGCCTGGCATTCTGGAGCAGAGGTTCCTGAACTTCCTCTGTTGTAAGTTCTTCACCTTACACAGCCAGTGTGGTCAGAGAGCTCTTCCTCAACTCCGCCTGCAGTTCACGTTGTGGTTTTAGCCTCCTTTACATCATATCCTCTGCTTGACAGTTACTGGGTCAGTGCTGATCTGGCTTTACTCAGTGTACAGCAAGTGAGGGCACTGGAAAGCATACGGGACCTCGAGGGCCACCACTAAGCTTCTTATCTGTCCTGGCAAGTGGCAAGTTAAAAGGCGAACAGCAAGGCTGTAAGGATGTAGGGAGGAAGTGGTGCCAATCCTTGCCTAGCACCCGCCGAGAAAGTCCATCAGGGTTACTACATGGTAAAGTGGGTAGGGGAAAGGGGAGAAATCCATATTCTTCTCTCAAAAAGAATGGAGAGTTGGCTAACCTGTAATGGGAGGTGCTGGAGACGGCTTTGTCCCTACATTCTCACCAAGATCATGGTCTGAGCTGAAGGCAAGAATAGGTTGCTTCCCTCTTCATCCACGTTTTGCTCATTGATACCCGCCTTGCATTCTCATTGATACCCCCCTCCCCAGTGTGTGTCGATCTACTGCTCTCTCAAGCTCATATAGCCTAGGGTGGCACTGACCCAATATGCTTTTTTATATCGTGATGTCACCTAACCCACAACAATACATGTGAGACCAATACATGTGATCCTTATTAATCCAAAACCTGTACTATGTCCACATTTTTAACATGAAGTACAAAGATATTATTTTTTAAACCAGCAGTCTCATTCTGAGCCCATGTCCTTGCTTTCTTCTCCTGTGATATAATCCCTAACTCTGTTCACCTCTCCAGTCTAGACCTGCATTTTTAAACCACACCCCAGCCAGCTCATTCCTGGCACCCCTCTTTTCCAGCTCACCGACCTTTCCTGGGTGCTTCTCATTTAGCTCCACCCAAGGAGCCTTCCTCCCTCTGGGCTGCTCTGGAACACAGACTGTCCCTCCTTAACGGTGAAGGAGGGTGTGGGGTTTGTTCAGCCTCACCCTCAGAGATGCATCTTCCCCCTCCTCTGCTCTGTGGTACTTCCTCTCTGGCTGATTTAACTGGCAGATTTAGAAGCAGGACCAAGACCTAGTACTAGGACAGATTCAGGAATTCTCTGTCCGACGACTTGGCCCTGACCCTAGACATGGCATTGACTTCTGATCAGCATCTGGAAAACCTTGTAAGTATCCTAGGAATTGAATGGTGTGTGTGTGTGTGTGTGTGTGTGTGTGTGTGTGTCAGTGTGTTGTATATGACTGAGTGTGAATATGAGTGTGTCAGTGTGTTGTGCATGAGTTTGTGTATGTGAGTGTGTGTGTGTGTGGCAGGTGTAGCTGGGGAGATGGTGAGAAAGAATCTCCAAAGAAAGCCCGACCAGTGTAAAAGGACTTGTTCTTAGTGCCTGTCCATTAACCCCGCCCTGTGCCAGTCCTCTCTGGTGCACGCTGGTCAGCTCTTGAGAGAGTGGGTAGGTGACCGGAGAAAGTCACCAGTGCTCCCTGGATAGCAGCCTCTCAGGAGGTCGAAGAGCTGGACTCTCACAGGATTCAGTCTCCCAGGCTGGTGCTGGGTGTCAGGGTCCCTTAAGGGAAACACAGTGAAACGCAGCTGTTGCTGTTTATTTTGCAACAGGGCCTGTGGCAAAGAAGGGGCCCCACAGGCCAGTTAGGAAATTAGTCTTCCTATTCAACCAGGTCTCTTGAAGACAACAAGGTTGACAGTGAGGGTGTGGTATATATTTGGAGGCGATTTTGGAAATCAGAGTATTCATATTAATGTGATGGGGTGTCAAGAATTCTTTGACTTTCTCCTCATGGGTGTGCCCACTTCCTACTCTCTAGGTCCTTTTGATGGCTCCAAACACTACATCTCCTGCAGCATCTTCCTCTCCCGGTGGCATGTCTCTGTCTCTGCCTATAGTCCTGCTGTCTGTGGCCCTGGCTGTGGGGCTTCCTGGCAACAGCTTTGTGGTGTGGAGCATCCTGAAAAGGATGCAGAAACGCTCCGTCACCGCCCTGCTGGTGCTGAACTTGGCTCTGGCCGACTTGGCTGTGTTGCTCACTGCTCCCTTTTTTCTACACTTCCTGGCTCAAGGCACGTGGACTTTTAGAATGATCGGTTGCCGCCTGTGCCACTATGTTTGTGGTGTAAGTATGTATGCCAGCGTCCTGCTTATCACCATCATGAGTCTGGACCGCTCATTGGCAGTGGCCAAGCCCTTTGTGTCCCAGAAGGTGCGCACTAAGACGATTGCCAGATGGGTGTTGGCAAGCATCTGGGTGGTGTCTTTTCTGCTGGCTACACCGGTCATTGTGTACCGTTCAGTAAAACAGCTCAACAGGACTCTGGTCTGCCAGCAGGATTATCCCAGCGATGGGCATAGGGCCTTCCATCTGCTTTTTGAAACCATTACTGGCTTCCTGCTGCCCTTTCTGGCTGTGGTGGCCAGCTACTCTGACATCGGACGCAGGCTGCAGGCTCGGCGCTTCCGCCGCAGTCGCCGCACCGGCCGCTTGGTGGCCCTCATCATCCTGGCCTTCGCCGCTTTCTGGCTGCCTTACCACCTGGTGAACCTGGTGGAAGCCGGCCGCGCGCTGGCAGGCTGGGACAAGACCGACTCTGTGGCGAAGCATCTGAAGATGGCCCGCTACGTCCTCATCGCGCTGGCCTTCCTGAGCAGCAGCGTGAACCCGGTGCTGTATGCGTGCGCGGGCGGCGGCTTGCTCCGCTCAGCGGGCGTGGGCTTCGTAGTCAAGCTGCTGGAGGCCACTGGCTCCGAGGTGTACAGTACCCGCCGCGGGGGCACCCTGTGCCAGTCCCAGAAGGCCACACTCGCCTGTCCTGAGCAAGGTCCCCCCGAAGCCTCCATGACCTCCTCCACCCCGTCATGAGTGAGGTGAACTGTAGTAGGTTGGTCTGACCCACTTCAGTATCTGGAGAACAGGTTGGGGACTGGACGCAAGAGGAAAAGAGGGAAGGGTGGGGCGAGTCAGGGCAAAGAGACTGTATGCTTTGGCCTGGCTTCTGCAGGCAGCTTTACAATTAAAACTAAAGTCTGAAATAAGGTTAAGCCTGTGAATGAGGTGTATATTGTGGGGCACTGGGGAATGTTCATTGGTTCCCAAAAGGGACCACTCTGGTGGGGTCCCTCTCAACAGTTCCTCGTGGTTTGCAGTTTTGGAAGGGACATATGGGTGGGTAGAGCTCCCTACCTTCCTAATTCTGAAATAGGTGACCTGCAGATCCCACTTAGAAAAATACACTATTGACTCCTAAAGGAGATATCAAAGGAGTTCGTTGTGTGGCCTCATTACCCTAGAGTCACGACTCATGGAACCTTCTAAAAAAAACCCGGTTCTTGTGAAATGTCTTCCCAGAAGTTGGTGGTACATATCTTTGATGGTGTAAACCTAACATCCTCTCAGGAAAGTCCTGGGAGATGGTTTTCCATCTCTCCATCTCCCAAAGAAGTCTCACTGGGGACTCGCGCATCAAATCCCATCTTCCAGAATTCTGTGCACCTGTACCTGCCATCTCTCAGAAGCCACACCCAACCCCGCAAAACAAGATGTCCCAGAATGAGAGGCCTAGGAAGACAACTCGGGAAGGAACCGTGCCAATGAGGAGCAAGGAGGAGATTTCCAGCTACTTCAACAGCTCTTGATCCATGGACTGATTCAGATGCCCAGTAGACATTTTATTGACGATCTTAGAGGAGGGGTTGCTGAGGTGCCTAGGGTGCTGAGGGAGATCCAGTTCTTGTCAGGTCTGTGTTCAGGAAGTACGTACAGAGTTGCCCTTTGCCTTTGACCTTGATGACACCCCGGCTGTAGCATATATACCCCAGGGATTGCAGGGCCCTAGCTGTCTCCTCAGTCACCTGCAATTGGAAGAGGGGTAAGGTAGCGTAGCCTTTCTGGGCCCCCTCCCCCATGCCTCCAACACAGTTCTCTCACTTGGATCTTGCCGAGAACTCCTGTACTCTCCATGCGGCTGGCCACATTCACTGTGTTCCCCCAGATGTCATACTGTGGCTTCTGCGCCCCAATCACTCCTGCTACTACTGGTCCATGGTTCAACCCTGATAAGACATGTGGTAAGGAGAAACTTCGATGGGGTGAACTTTGAAGAAGGAGATTAAAGGAGATGGTTTAGCAAGAGTCTTACAGGTTGGTGGGGAGAGGATTGGGGAAGGGAAGCGAAGGGTGAATCTCTTAGCTCTTAGATAAGAGCCTTATGCCTCAGCCTAGAGAGCAAGTCTGGAGGGAGGGTGTTCAGGGATGAGCTGGAGAGCAGCTAATGAAGGTCTTAGGGAAGGGGGGAGGGAGGTACCACCTTGCCCCAGCAAAGGAGGCCCCTCACCCACACGCAGGCGGAAGTTATTGAACGAGTGCTTGTTGATGATATCCAACTTAGACCCCAGGGCCACTGCAAATTCCACCATGGTGCCCAGATGGCTGCAACTTCGATCGGCATCCTGGTAAAGGGGTCCACCCACCACGATGGGCAGAGAAATAAGTCAGACTCGTGAAAATGTCCACCAATGGAAGCCCCTAGGAGGGCTGACAGGAAGGGGTTGCTGTACCTGCTGTGTGTCCTGACCAGACGTGGCGTTCAAGCCTGTGGCTGCCATGTAGGTGCTGCCAATAGTTTTGATCTTCTCTACCCCACTGAACTTTGGCTTGGAGAGCAGCTGCAGAGAAAGAGGC